GTTCACCGAAAACTTGCGGTACTTATACAAAAAACGCAACGTTCTATTCCATACATCCAAAAAAGCTAGCAAGAGAGAGAAGAAAAAATATTTTGAAAGAATAAATAATATCAATTCTAGTAATAAAGGTTGGTGGACATTACTGAAATCGTCTATGGGATGAAAAACATCTTCTAACATAACAAAATTAAAAAATTAAAAAATCAGAATGAGTAATGGATAACATTGGTAAGGCTGAACTATTAAATGAATATTTCGCGTCTGTGTGTCACATGTCTGCAACCGACGATAGTCTTCTTCTCCCATTTCTACCTGCCTATTCAGGTTCTGCTCTTGAACACATTAATGTCACAACTTCTCAAATAGAAACAATTATAAATAAAATAAGCGTTTCTAAAGCTTCTAGTTCACTAGTAACTGCTAGGAAAAAGTAATCTCGAGAAAGTAATCTTTTTATTAGCGAAATTTCAACTAATATATGTCAACAATCATTTGACGAAGAAGTCTTCCCATTGAGTCTCAAAACTGGTATAGTTACAAGCTTATACAAAGCGAATGAACATTATCTACCATCTAATTACCGTCCGATAACAATTCTTCCCATCTTATCTAAAGTGTTTGAGCGTGTAGTATTCAATGCTTTGTATAAGCATTTGACAAAAAATAAATTATTAAATTCATTCCAATCAGGATTTCGTAAAGGTCACAGTACCATTACCCAATTAGTTGAACTCGTTCAAAACATTCATAACAATCTCTGTAGTGAAAAATAAATAAAAAATTCAAAAGATGTTCTAACAGTCTTTCTGAATTTCTCGAAAGCTTTTGATAAGGTGTGGCACAAAGGACTCCTCTACTTTTCTTGATATACATTGATGACTTAGGCGACGATCTCGATTGTGTCACGAGATTCTTTGCAGATGACACTGTTTTATATAACAGCAACACTAATGCTCAGTTCCTTATATCAGACATGAATCGCAATCTATCAAAAGTTCTTTCTTGGTCGATTAAGTGGCAATTACCACTCAAGATAGACAAAACTGAAGGTTGTGCACGATTTTTATAAAAAGAATTAATTTTTTTCATTTAGCAACAATTTAATATCTAAATAATTTTATTTTTACTTGAATATGAATAAGATCAAACAGATTTTAATGCATCGAAAGTTTCTCTTTCTCTAATTAACTCATATTTCACATGTGATTTTTCTGCTGGAATGTTGTCTATGTTCATATATTCTGCTGGTCTACATTATGCTGTCAAGTATGATTTTTATTGCTTGAATTTTTTTTCAAAAATAGAAAGATACAATTACTATTCGATATTGAGACAACAGTGCTATGTAAGTGAAGGATTCGGTGAGGAATCTGAAGTGTTCTTGAATTATTCACCATATAAATAATAAATTATGCTTAAAGAGAACTTATGCATATATGTGAACATTAAAATAAATGTAAAATTAGTTCGAAAAAAAGCAAAAGAACTTTTTATTTATTAGAAAATAAATAAACGTGTGTCGTGAATAATTTTACAAAGAATATTATGTGTATTCCTAAGCACATTCAGGAGTATTTTCCATTACAAATTTCATATTATATTTTTGACATAAACGTTGCCCAATTCGACTCCAGATATAAAGTTGTTTGCTACGTAATCTAAATAATTCTTCTAATGAGATTGAATTACCAAAATCCCAATCCCAATCAGGATATTCTTTTTTAAATTCCGACCATTTTTTCTTTGTCCCTCGATGTATAATTACTTTTTCGTTTGTTATTAGTTCACATTGAAATAATGATGCTTCATTTGAGTTTTCTAATTTAATCCCAGTCATTGCTGGTAAACTGATGACCAGTTTGGCAAGCATGAAGATTATATTTATGGCCTAGACAAACAAAAAAGAAAAGAAATAACGCTAGAATTGAAAGAGAATTAAAACGACCGTCAAAATCATTATGAAAAATAACGCTACAGAGACAGATATAAACATAGACGCATATTACCATAAACGAGAAATTCAAATTTTGAATGTCAAACTCTAATATACACTCAACTCGCCTTGTGTATGTTTTGTATACTGTATGTATATTTCAACTTCATCGTAGGTTAGGTCGAGTCAGGTTACGTGGAAATTGTAATTCTTATTCTCACAACATAGATACACATCTATATCTGCCTGTCTATTTCGACTTCATCGAAGGTTAGGTCAGGTCAGGTTATCTAGAAATTGTAATTCTTACTGTGAGAATAGCCCAGGGCGAAGAATACTGAAATATGAGCTTGTAAGATCATGCTATAAGATACCATAAGATTTTTTAAGACCTTACAAGATTTCACAAGATGTTGTTTTCTTGCAACATGATTCTGTAAGATCGTTTAGGATTGTACAAGAACTGACAAGATCTTGAAAGATT